GGAGAAGTTGGGGAATAAAGCATGGGAGGGTGATCCATAATTACCCCATAATTTAGCTTCATCATGTGTCATACCCATGGGTTGCTCAATGATGATATATATATATATATATATAATTATTTAAATTATTATTAACCATATCAAATTGTTTTTATGTTATTATTTATTACTTATTATGCAATATATTTAGGGGTCGTTTACTAAACGCTTACTTGGTATTACCGGATAAATTTTTTCATCGGATGAACATGACAGAGGCTAAGAATCTTACCAGATAAGAACGATGAGAATGATGAAGAATTTTACTGGTAAGTGAATATAACGACTATTACCCAGGTAAGTGCTTACTAGGTAAATTATTGCATTCGATACGTTTTGATGTACTAAAAACTTACGCATAAAACTAAATTATAGTGTTAACTCATATTGGTAAGCACTTACCAGATAAACTTTTAGGTAAACAGCTTCTTAGTTATCAAAAACGAAATATAACAATTTTAATAATGTTTATGTAAGTGACATAAAATTTAAAGTTATACTTATTTTGTTTCATAGATAATTATATTAAATGCTTTTAATAAAATATTTAATTATAGTTTTTAAAAAATTATTAAAATTTTATTTTTTGCTAAAAATCCTTAAACTTTTCATTTTAAAGAACTTGTTAAACATCCTTTCAGAACCAACCTNTTTAAATTCTTTTAATTAATATATTATATTATTTTAATTTTTATTTACTATCATGTTTGTATTAATATTATGAGATATTTGTTTTTAATTAAATTATAAAATATTGTAACTGATTAATTTTTCTAGATGCCCCTTTTGATCATTTTATATGTTTATTGACAAGTTTTTAATATAATCTTCAAGCCCGAGCTTGGAATCTACTTCATTGACATTGACGGAGAACTGAAGTTCCCAAAGGTGCTTTGAACTATCCATTGCACCACTGGATCATCTCCTCTTTGTCATGACATACAGTAAAGATGACATGCCTGGAAGATTGATTACAAGAAGAATAAGGAAGGACCTGCTCATAAGAAATTCAACAAACCACCGTCTAATACTGAAAAAGATCTCAAAAACAGTAAAAGGAACATGTATCTTACAAGTTCTTTTTCCACATTGAAACACGTAGCAATTTTCTTTTTTGTTGCTTTGTCATCATCAAGTAGACGGAGATTGTTGATCCAAACTTTTTCAATGATTTGATGATGATCCTCCATACTGAGTGAAATATGCTTGTTTAACTTCTGTTCAGTTTCAACGATCATCTCTGAGTCTGTTAAGTGATTGTTGAACATATACTGTGAACTTCTTTAAGAACAAGTATTCGTCAAAGATAAAACTCACACCAAAGGAACCTTCAACGATGTCAAAGAAGTAGCTAAAGATAGAGACGTAATAGTTCATGATCTGAAGTGGATTAAGTGACAACAAGAATATCTAAATCAAAGTGTGAAATCTGACCAAGACTCGGTGAACATTGAAGAATCTTTAGAGATGAATCAATGTCAGGGATCAAATGAATCTTGCTCTACAAGACTAGTTTTTGTCTTATCCTCTTGCACAAAAAGGACAACCTCATACCTTACACAGAATTACTTTATTGTCTCCAAATGTGTTTACCAACTTTGTGAAAGACAATTGTTCATATGCGGTCAAAAGTCTGCATATCTGAAGACAGTGGACAAGCTTTCCACTAGAAGTTTGCCACATGGCTTGTACTTCTGATGTGCATTAAATGTAATGGGTATAAATAGTTGAGAAGACTCCTCTTCTCAGTAAGAACCTTCTTCTCATTCTAACTCTCTTCTCTCTTGTTCTTATCTTGTATGGAAACTATGTGTTTCCAGTATTGTTTAGATTAGGTCTTAACCTTATCTTCTTCCGCAACAATCTGTAAATTCCATATTGATCTTCTTTTATCAATAAACGAATTTAAAAGGTAAAAATTGTGTGTTTGTATTCATTCCACTCTTCTACAAACTGTTACCTTTAAAACTCTTGTAAATTCGTTTGGGACCAACACATATGTGTTGAACACTTTCCCAAACTGCAAATCGCACCAGATTTTAAGGTATTGCGGAAGTGCGGTACAACTTGTATCTAATGAAGCTTGTATCAAAATTCATACAATAAAAAGTCACAATCCATGCATTTAGGAGTTGCAATAAAGAGTTGTAATTCATACAAAAAAAGGTTGAAATAAACAACTACACATCATCAAAAGTCATATAACAAAAATAGTGGGAGGTGATTATATAATGAATCTTGAATTAAATAGCGTAAAGGTATACTTGTACTATTTACAATTAAGGTTTAAACTTGAAATGGGAAGCGATGGGAGAAGGGATCTCGAAATCAAGAAGGCAGAAGTTGTGACGGTCTTATGTTGTGTTTCACGACTTGTGATCGTAAAGGGAGAAAGACATTGATTCAATAACGTAAGTTTACATCATGTTGGAAAGTTGGGTTGAGAAATGTCTCCTTACTCAAATCGTTTACGTGTCATGTCTCCTTAGTCGAATCGTTCATATTTGTATTTCTATAAAGCTAAAAAAAATCCCTCTGATCCGACATCATCAGGGTCGAGAAAAAAGTTCAAAAGACAGAGAAGGTCGTATCTCTTTCAAATAAACCCTGCTTATTTTCGACACCACGTTCTCTTCATAATCCCTTACATAACCAAATCAAGATACTGTATCGAATAAACAGGTAACAGATGGACAAATCAAAACCAAAAAAGAATCTATGCAATATGATGATGAAGTGTTTATAGTGTTTTCTTATGTAATTGTGAACAAATTCCTTTAGACATATTCTTGTGTAAAATATCCATCATTATCATATTGATATGTTCACCACTTGTTTCAAGAATTTGGAACACATTCCTCTTGTTTTACCCCTCCATTTCTCCCATTTATAGAGACAACTTGCATCATTCTCATACCCTTTTCCCAAGACAATGTGTCCCTTTAATCCATGCTTAGACTCACTCCTAATTCTAGTGTTTGTGCCATTTGTGCATATGTAATTATGGTGTTTGTTTATTATTTAATTCATAATAATGTTGAAGAAAATTGTTTGATGATGTGAAAAAACATATTTTGATTTGGTTTGTGGGGTTTATGAACCAAATCATGAATTCCATATTGATTTAGATGGTCACTTTTTTGGTTTGTTAGAGCTTTTGGTTTATTCCGTTATGAATATTTAACGTGTCAACTTGTTATGGAATTTGGTACAGTTCGAATGTGTTCGAGGAATAAATAGGAAGACGAAGAAAATAAGGAAATCAGATGTGGAAAAAGATGATCGAACAGTATTACAAATAAATACGTAAGAACTTTTGAATCCAAACAAAAAATAAGACGATTTAAATGTCGTAAAGGACTAGTGAGGTTCAATTTTCGGGTTTAATCTAAAAAGGTTAAAAACCAAGTCAAAGTGACTTTGGATTAGAAAGCCTGAATGCAAATTTTTTGGATTACGGTTGCATCTTGATTTGAAACTAAATTTATAAAGTCAACCTTACGGAAATTGAATCATGGATGATAATATATTTTTATGAAAAATCCAAATATACCCTCGTAAGCCGTAGCTTTATCAATGGTGACCTTCTGTCGGTCTCGTCAACTCATAATCGAATTCAAACGGAAGTTCAATATTTGAATTTTGTCTGGTTTCACTAGTTACAAAAAATGCTCCGTTCTATTTATATCTCGGTTTCAAAAAGTTCCCACAACATAACTCACTAAAACCAACGAAATATGCTTACCCGGTAAATGTTTATCGATGAGTCAACACTATAATTTATTTTGATGCTTAAGTTTTCAGTACATCAAAACATATTGAATACAACAATTTACCGGGTAAGCACTTACCTGGGTAAGAGTCGTCATCTTCACCTACCGGGTAAGACTCTCTATCCTTCTCATCACTCTTACCCGGTAAGATTTTTGACCTTTGTCATGTTCATCCGATAAGGAAAATTATCCGGTAAGCACTTATCAAATAAACGTTTAGTAAACGGCTCCTTAATCAATAAAGTGTTTGTGGTCTTCAACGTATATTCGGTTGGCAAAGAGGTGAGTAATTTTATCCAAATAAAGTATTTGAAATGTTGGAAAAAATTAATGTCCGTATTTAAAATGTTGAAACAAATAAAGCTCAAAAAATCAACGACACGGTATTTTTATCCTGTTCAAATGGGTCGTTGTTCAACCACTAAATTTTCCCAACGTAATGTAGTTTTTTTACTATTATTAAAAATGCTACCGTTTAGTTTCGGTGTATACTTCAATGCAACGACATAAATACCCCTCTCAACCACAAGGGTGATGTTTGATTGGTTTGAACTTGGCTCTAAAGGTCAAAAGTACCATGAGATCCCATGTTCAAATCCAAGGAGGAATAAAAATCTCCTTGTGGCCACAGAGGTTTAAATGTGGTGACTCCGGACTATTTGCAAAGCAAGTGGTCGCCTTGGGATTAGTCGGCTCGCATAGCGGGTTAGATATCCAGGTTAATAAAAAAAAAATACCCCTCTCAATCATCTCTGGTGAAAACACCACGAACAAAAATAACGCTAATATTTCATTTCTTATTGATTATTTATCTTAAGTCGATTTTAATTTTACAAAAATATATGATTAGTAGAAGGAAAAAAAACAGAGTATTGATTGTCCAAACATGAAACAAAAAAATCCATGAGAATCCAGTGATCAGCTTTTATCCTTCCATAAACATGAAGGTCAGGGTATGGTCATCGTAAATGCATTCAATGCTTTAACCTACATGAGATGAGTTTGAATGGTCACAGCAGTCACATATTGATATTCAATTGCTTTTAATGTGGAGTTCTCATGGATCGATAGACCTTTTACTATCCGATAAACGGAAAAAAGGATATCCTTCAAAGTTTGAAAGTAGAATTTAGAACCAATTCTTGAAAAAAGTAAAAAAACAAACACAAAAGTGGAGAAGTAACTTATTGTGAAATCTGGAATCTGATAATATCATGAAGAGGCCAATAGTAGAAGTACTGTACATAGGGAAGGAGGAAAATAAATCAGATGAAGAAAGTAGCAATATGATTTTTTTTTTTTCTTATTCCGCTTTTGGAAAAATTGTACGGAAAATCACATTAAATTGTGAGGAACAATTGCTAATTTTTCTTCTTGATGAAACCTGACTTGTCTAGCGATGAAGCCTTCGATCCTCCTCTGAAACTCTTCATTGCTAAGTTCGTCGACGACGTTGTCCACTTCCTCAACCTCCACCGTAGTATCAACTTTTCGCCGTCCTACTTCCGTCTCCGACCGCTTGAGCTTGCCGCAAAGTTTATCCAGCTCCAGAAAACACTCTCTCTTCGTCAGGTTCTCAGACTGGCTTCTCCGATAAATTTTTGGATCTAGATCTGGAACCGAATTAGCCGTCGGATTATTCCTAACTTCAATTTCGTTTTCGTTACAGCAGTTACCAGCAATCGGTTTAGTATTTACTTCAGATATGATTCGTTTATCCTGATAAACAATTTCCTCCGGTTCGAGAACAGGAGGAACATCTTCACTTACATTATTCACAATCTCTTCATACAGATCACTTCCGTCATTACCTACCGAACTAGGAGTTCCGGTGAGTTGGCCTGATTTGACCACCAGAGTTAAGACAATCACGTTACCGACCAAAAAAATGAAGAGAGGACTGACGACGATGGAGAGAAGCTGCCGGAAGTACTCTCCAGATATTCTGATAACGAACGGCAAGCGAGACGAGATCCACGAGAGTAAAACCACTGCTAAAAACAGCTCCACGAGCCGGAACAGTCTGGCGATTTTTCGAAAGCGCCGGTACTGTAGCGTTGCATTCGCTTTCTCCACCTTCACGTTATGGATATCGAAAATATCCATCTGCTTTTGTTTTACAGCTTCTATTTGAAAGCTCCGACCGATTAGATTTATTTTCCGGTGACGGAATGGGAAAGTGAACTGTGATCTATTTTTCTAAAACGATGGAGATGTCGCTGGTTTTTATAGATGGTCGAGCACGGCTAAACGGGTCCCACGGTACTTTAAAAAGGGCGGAAATAACAAAAGGAAAGAAAGACGAATATATTCAAATATATCTTTTAATATTTTGTAGCAAAAATATTTATCTTAAAAGTATATTACTATTTTTATGTAAATTTTTAAATAATAGTTTTTATTTCTATCTATACTATTTTATAGCATTTGATAAAAAAATTAAAAATTATTTTTTATGTATGAAGTATCGTATATTGATGCATATTATTTAAAATTCAAGATTACAAATAATTTATGCATAAGTACAACTTATTAAAGCTTCATTTTTGAATTTGTGTAACTAACTGGGGATAAACATAATCAAATAGATGATAAATATCTCATTTTAAAATATAAAAAATCTAAATATGATTAGGATAATCTTCGAATTCTAACAAATTAGTTAATTATTATCTTTATAAGAAAATTATATTATTAAACCAAATATAAATTACTTTGTTATTGAATCTAAATTAAATTATAATAAAAAAATTAAATTAAAAATTACACAAAAAATGAGAAATTTTAAATAGTTAATTTGATACTAATATCGATATATTTTTGTCAAATTTTTATGATATCTTCAAATTTATTTTTTATTAAAAAAATAAAAACATCATCGTTTTTTCAAGATCACATAAGACCATATTATAACATCGACTGAGATAAAGAATAAAATGAAATATTAAAATCAATATGTATCTCGTTGCATTGTACGAGTACCCTTTAATAGTTTATAATTCATTTCAATTTTTGTATCTGATGGGGATTCACACTTGTATGGCTTCATAATATATAAAGTTATTAGGGTGTTCAAAAAATCGACTAACCCAACCATCCGATCAACCTAATCTGGAAAAAAAAAAAAAAAAAAAAAAAAAAAAAAAAACTCAACCTAAGGTAACCAGACCTATAATTGATACAAAATTAAGCCAAACTGTATCAATTGGAGTGGAATTGGATTAGGGTAATTTGAACCCAACTCAACCCGATGTCTTTCAGTATTGCAGACTTAATATGATTGTTAAGTTCCTGATTAATATATATACATTAGATCAACCTGTAATTAACTATATTCAAAATTATATTACAATTTCAACTGTATGACTAATTCTTATTTGCATGAATTTTCAAGTTTTTTTTGAGTTTGTTAGTCTTTTTTATATGGTCTAGTTTTGATTTTAATTCGTTTAAACACAAACAATTAGCTACATTGTAAAATAATGTACCAAATCCAACCCCCATGGTTTGGATTGTTAGGTTTGGGTTGTAGTTTTTCTGAGGTTCGAATATAAACCACAAACATCAAGTTGACTTGTTTAAATGCTTTCAACCCGACCAACTCAATCCATGTGCAACCCTACTTGTCCCTAGAGATGGCCAAATCGGCCCAGCCCGGCCCGGGACTGCCGGAGGACCGGGACCGACAAAGGACCGGCCCAGGACCGGGACCAGTAATGACCGGTTATGGGACCGAAAACCGGGACCGGTTGAGGTTTTTGGTAGTTTCGTGGGACCGGGACCGGTTATGGGGACCGACTATGGACCGGCCAGGCCCGGCTCGGCCCGAAAATTCAAATAATTTTATAAATAAATGTATTTTTAAATAATTTTATAAATAAATGTATTTTTAAATAATTTTATAATGTATTTTTATAAGAAAACATAATTTTAATTATATTAAAACGCATTTTTAAAGTGTATTTKAGTGACTCAATTGTAAATTTTATAATGTATTAAAAATATATATCATTAAAAAAATCAAAAAAAAATCTTATTTTTTTAATGCAAGGACCGGTTGGGACCGGGACCGGTTGCCCATAACCGGTTATGAAGTACCTTGACCGGTCCTATCAATTTCGACCAGGACTGAGACCGGGACCGGGACCGGTTATGAAAAAGGTTAGGACCGATTGGGACCGGTTTTTGGCCATCTTTAGTTGTACTTGCCAATTAAAAAACGTTTCTTGCATCTATGAAACAACTATCCTGAATTAAGACTTCCCCATTCAATTCAGATAACTTAATCTACACAAATAGTTTTATCCATACATGACTTAATAGAAAACCAACTAAACAACTCCTAACTTCTACGTGTAAGTAAAAAGGGTAATTTCAAAAATATTTGAATATGAAACGTGTATTTTAACCAATAAAATTAATAATTATTATATACGAATATTTTTTTCAAAAGATAATAAAATTACCACATTG